CGGGCGTGGTGGTAGCCGTGCTAGGCGTCGCGGCACCCGGGTGTTGCTGCTGCTGCGGCTGGAACATCGCCGTGGGGTGAAGGAACAAGGATCCGTACATCATATTTTCGTCCGACTGCTGTTGCTGGCTGGTCTGCTGGCCGGCTGGGCCGACCACCGACGCATTCCCCATTCCCGCCGCGGCGGCAGCTGCGGCTGCGGCTGCGGCTGCTGCGGCCACGTTCCCGGCAGGGGTGATCGGCGCGCCGGGCGTCGGCGGCACCAAGCTGCCCTCCTCGACGGCGACGCGCACCGACTCGATGTGCCGTCGCGAGAACACGTGCTCCTGGAGCGGCGACTTCGCCGAGTACCGGACCGAGCAGAGCCTGCACTCGTCGGGCCCGGTCGGGCCGCGGTGCGGCTGCACGGCCGAGCCCTCGGCCGGCAGTCCTGCCGCCAATCTAGCTTTCTTTTCCTTGGCGCGGGCGTTCTGGAACCAGACCTGTAGCCGGCTCGTTTAGACCGCGGATTGCTCGAACGCTCTTTTATCGATCACTATCGAACGCTTGCCCTGGGTTGCTTACCTGTACCACGCGCTTCGGTAGGCCGATCTCGCGACCTAGCATCTCACACTCGGCCATGGTGGGCGTCTTGTAGTCCGAGAACAGCGACTTCATCACCTTCACCTGGGTCGCGGACATCTGAGTGCGATACCTCTTGCCGCTAGATTGGCCGGTCCCGCCGCCGGTGCCGGTCACCGTTGGAACAGTAGCGCTCCCGGTACCCACGGAAGCAGAGCCCTGCCGCGAGCTCTGCGTGCTGGATGCTGGGCTCGCCGGGCCGCTCTCGTCATCCAGGAATTCCGTGGTCTCGCTCATGCTGTCGTCGTCGCAGATGCTGCGCTCGGACAGATCGGTCAGTGGCCCGCAATCGCTGCCACCCCGGAAATGCATGCCGTGCTGTTCCTCGAGGAGATTGCTCAGCCCGCCGAGGCTAAGTTTCATCGGCCGACTGAGATCGACCGGCTTGCTGAGATCCAACGGCGACTCGCCGCTGTTGTTGCCTGCACTCTGGTGGTTCGAGGCTTCCTGCTTGCCGTTGCTCGCGTGCGCTTGGAGTTCGCTGATATACCGCTTCATTGACTCCTCGTAATACTTCTTCAGGGAAGCCTCCATGTCGGTGTTGAATGGTGGGAACAACGGTGGCATCATGTTCGGCGTGCTAGGGTTGGAGGGCGCGGACTCCATCGAGAGCTCTTCGTCGGGGATGTTGTCGATGTTCACCTCGCCGCGAGCCACTTGGTCAGCGTGCTTGCTGCTGAGATGCGATTCCAGCGCGGACTTCACTTTGAACAATGCCGGGCAGAACGGGCAACGCTTGTTGATCACCTGACTGTGTGCGCGGAACTGGCCCTTGCGCTCGCGGGCCCGAGTGTTCTGGAACCAGACCTGGACCACGCGCTTCTTTAGGCCAACCTCGCGGGCGATTGTCTCGAGCATCTTTCTCGAAGGGTTTGACTCAACCTGGTATTTCTGGTAGAGATAGTCTAATTGTTCCGGGAGTATCGTCGTCCGCAATCGCTTGTCCTTCGGCTGCTCGCTGTGCTCGGAGTTCGAACGAGATTCGCCGCCCGTCCCATCGTCGAACTCCTCATATTTCCTTTTTCTGTCTTGCATCATCGCGATTAGCGGGTGGGAGGTTTCCGACGAGACACCAGAGGTGGCGGTCAACGCTTGTTGCTGCAGAATGCCGAACGGCGAGTCCGGCGGGTATGCGGGTGGGAACAGGGACGGGTTCATGATATGTACTAGCTGATGCTCGCGCCACAGCTCGAATCGTCCGAACATCAGGTTACATTTGTCGCACTGGAAACTGCCCTCCTTGGACTCGGTCTGAGACTGGGACTGCGGCTGGGACTGCGACTGCGATTGCTGCTGCATCTGCTGCTGTTGCTGCTGTTGGGGCTGCTGATGCGTCTGTGTCATCGTCTGTTGCTGATGGTGGGGAGGAGTGGTGGTGTTCAACGGTTGTTGCAGTTGTTCGGTCAGCGCGGGCGCCGTGCTCGGGTTGTTCGATGTCACGTTGGTGGTGGTCGTCGTGGAACTGCTGTTGCTGTCCTCAGAACTCAAAACAGCGGCCACTTGGGCCGCAGCTGCCTGCGCTTGCGCGCTCCGCTTCGCATCCTCCTCTTTGAAGCAATGGGTCTTCTGGTGTCTGATCAGCTCGTAGTATCTCTGGAACACCAGCAAACACTTCTTGCACTGGTAATTCAACCCCGGTGTCCTTTGGAATCTGCCGGACCCGTCGTCACCTTCGCGGTTCCCCGATGTCACCGGCTCCGCGGCTGGCTGATTTTCGTACACCTTGCGCGCCTTTTGTCTCGCGTTCTGGAACCAAACCACAATCACGCGCGGGCTCAAGCCGAGCAACTTGCTCAGATACTCTAGGTCGTCGTCCTTAGGGTACGCGTTATTTTCGAAGAATTCTTGTAGCACCTTGATCTGATAATCCGTGAATCTGGTCCGGTTCGCGCGTTTCCCGGAGCTATTGCCCGACGAGCTGTTGCCGTTCGAGCTGCCGCCGAACGAGTAGTCGGTCGGTCCGCGACCAGGGCTCAATGATCTTTGCGGCGTCAAAGCCATGGCTGCTATAGCGCCTGGCACGACTCCGCCCGGTCCAGGATTTGGGCTAGCGAAATTCTGTGGTCCTAGTTTCGGCGGAAGCATCGGAGTACTCGGCGCATTCGTCGTTGTTGACGAGTGCGACGAGACGTCGTGGTGCATGCTGGGAAATACCGAGCTGATGCTCAGCGCTGGGGAATGCGGCCGGGATTGCTGGCCGCCAGAGCTGCCCGGCGAGTGATGTTGCTGCTCCTCCTGATGCTGCAACGACGATTGCTGCACGTGACACTGCGGTTGCTCTTGTATTTCCTGTTTTATCTCGCTCGCCTGAGACGTGTTGACGCTTGTCGCGGACGGTGGCGGAGACGCTTGCTTGTTCGGGCTCTTGTCATCCGAGGAGCTGCTCCCGGACACGCTAGAATTTAATGGGGTCACTTTCGCCTCCCCGGTTTTCTCATACTCCTCGAGATTTAAGGTGGTGCTCGGCGGATTGTTGAAATTATACGGGCTGTCCTTGTTGCGCTGCCGTTCCTTGAACAACGTGTTCCGGAACCAGTGTTTGATCACTTTCGGCGGCAGGCCGCTTTGAGCCGCCATGTCCAGTATCTGCTCCTCGCCCGGTGAATTGTTAATATCGAAATGCGCTCGTAGGATTTTAAGCTGTTCGTCTGTTATGCGAGTGCGCGCCCGTTTCTGAGAGGCGGCTGCGCTTGCCTGGAAAACGAAAAGATTCATCTGTGCTGTCTTTTGTTGCACGTGACACTATGCTCAGATTCTATCTGCCCAGAAGCGTTTGACTGAATAAACTGAGTATAACAATCATTGATGCGTTGAACGGAGAAAATATATTTTACTGTTAGTGCGTGAAATTCAATAATGATAGTCATGCAAGTGGACAATAAGAAAATCTTCAAGCATTGTGAAAATTTCTCGACAATAATGAAGTATAAAGCTTCCTTTTTGTGATACGCTATTTCGTAGTTTCTTATAATTACACCAATGAATACTACATTATTTTATATTAGACAAACAATATTTCTGCCAGAAGCAATACTATCACAGTTGAGACTTTCCAATTAACCAGTAAATAGGACAAACATCAAAAATTCAAAAAGAGAAACAAAAGGAAAAAATTATCAGAAATGTACTCACAGCTGCTGCCTGTTGTTGTTGCAAAGCGAGATGTTGTTTAGCAAGGAGATCAGCTTGAGCGTTGATCGGCGGATAAGCGGTAGCAGCACCATCATACGGCGGCGGAGGCAGCATCATGGGTACCAAAGGTGGTTGGAGATTCATCGCCGCGAGAGCAGGAACGTTCAGTCCAAGCGGTAAGCCCATCATTCCCATCATCAATCCCGGGTATTGTTGAAGTTGTTGTTGCAACTGGGAGGCCGCCATGGCGTTTAGAGCAGCTTGCATTTCGGACATCTGTTGAGCCAAAGTAAGCTGAGCATGTTGTTGTTGCTGCTGCTGCTGTTGCTGCTGCTGTTGCTGTTGCTGCTGTTGTTGTTGCTGCTGCTGCTGCTGTTGTTGCTGCTGCTGTTGCTGTTGCGAATGATGCGACTGATTGCTTGGCAACACGGTGGTTGTGGTCGAATCGGTACTCGACACGGGCGTGTTGCTCAACGCAGGAGTGGTGGCAGGAGTAGTCGACGTGGCTTCCGGTGTCTTGCTAACGCGCTCTTTACTCTCGGAACTTTCCTCTTTCTCTTTTTCACGTTGCTCCTTATCTGAACTAAGATCCTGCGGTTGACCGGACGCAGGAGTGGAACTTCTGGGTCCGGACGATGTGGACGACGACGTCGCGACAGTCACCACAACACTTTTCTTCTCGTACTCGCACTTGAACTGCTGCGCGTACTTCTCCAAAAACTCGCGGGGAACCAGATCACGATGCACCTCTTCGCAGTGTGCCTTTAATACCCAAACGCTACTGAATTCTTTATTGCAGTGCTGGCAAGTGCTTCTAGTCAACTCTGGTATCACATCGTCATCCGCCGCCTCCTCAGCTTCCTCTTCCCTCTCGCGAGCTGCCTGCGCAGCCAGTGCCTGTTTCTGTTGCTCCTGCTTCTGCTGTTCTTGTTGCGCTTGAAGAGCGGCAGCCGCTTCTTCCTCTTTCCGCTGCCGTCTCTGGTGGTTCTCGTTAAACTGCATCACCAGGTCGAACCCGAAGCTCTCTAGAAGATGTTTGTACATTTGCGAGGTCTTATGGCGCGGCTGCGACAGGATGTCCTGCGTCGTTTGGGATGAGTGCTGAACGCTCTGCTGCAAGTGTTGCTGAGGCCCCGGTGTGGTGGAGGTCGGAGGTGGCGTTTTAGCTGGAGTGGACGGGACCAGTTGCTGTGACGCTGCTAGTTGTTGAAACAACGCCAACGGATTGCTGAAGATGCAGTAGAGCTGCTGGTGCGTCGCCAGTTGCTCTTGGTTCACGAACAGAGCGCTGCATCGGGGACAGGAGAGCATCCCCGAGCCACTAGTATTGAGGTTTACCGGTGGGCTGTTCGGGCTGGTCGGCGGTGGTTGTTCGATCAACGGTCGGGCTAGATCTAGTTGCCCGCTAGCCGCTAAGTCTGGCAGTTTGCTGGCTCTTGTCTGGTGCAACACGCTCCTCATGTGTATGTCCAATGTGCTGCCTTGAGAGTAAGCTACCTTACAGATGTTACACTTGTACGGTTTCTTATCTTGATCCTGCTGGGAGTCGGGCGACTCGGTCGGACTAGCTGGCGGGACCACCGAGATTAGCGTGTTGTTGTTACCTTGCTCTTGCATCGCCCTCTTCAGTTTGTGCAGGTGACTCACGCTGTTGTAGTGAACCAAAAGTATATTCTTCTGGGTGAAACTTTCTTTGCACACGTCACATTTGTACGGCCTATTCGGGTCTAAATACTTCTCCATCGGGTAGGACATCTTCTCTCCCTTGCGATGCAACAGCGTCTTGTTGTGTCCTGTTAAGTAGCTTTGTCTCGTGAACGCGAGCTTGCACCGATGACATTTAAACTTCCTGCCGGGGTCGTGGTACGAGTCCTCGGCGACCGGCTGGCTGTTCAGATAGTCCTCCAGAAGACGTTGTTCTTTGTGCAGTGGCGACGAGTCACTCGCGTCGCTCTCCTCTTCTTCAGCTTTGCTAGCCTCGTCTTCCACGCTTTGCTCACCGCTTAGGTTACCTTGCCTCCGAAAACTTTCCTCGGTAAGCGCTTGAAGAAGGGGATGAGCGTGCAGTAGGCTCTGCTTGTATTGCGCCAGTTCATCCTCGTGGAGATCCGCGTGCGTCGACTCCAGATGTCTTTGGAGCGCTTGTACCGAGCGAAACGATCGGCCGCAGAGCGCACACTTCGTTGCGTCCCTTATCGCGTGGTATTGCGAGTGCTGCTGTAATTTCTCTAGTGTTTTGAACGCCAGGCTGCACTGACCGCATCGATACTTGTACACGTGCTTCTCGCTGACTGCTAATGTTGGCGTGGTGGCTGGATGTGTCTCCCGGTGATGTTGCTGTAGTTCTTCGAGGGAACGGCAAATTCGCCCACACACCGTGCATCGAGTGATTTCTTCGATTTCGTCGGTGGCACTGCGTTCACTGACGTCCTCTTCCTGAGGGGGTTTCGTGGTGGTGGTTGGCGACGTTGGCGTGGTCACCGCTGGCGTCGAGGTATTTCTCGGATTGTTGTTCAGCCAGTGGCTCTGGTCGACCAGAAGTAGGAGTCGTTGCAGTCCGTCCGCGTTCACCGAGTGAATCTGCATCACATGCTTCTCCAATGCTGACCGTTCCCTGAAGCCGTCTTGACACAACGGACATAGCAATTCGGGCGGCGGTTCCTCTTTCACGGTTTCCGTTTTCTCGTCGGAGTCTTGGACGTGGGCTACCTGCAAGTGTTGCCTCAGTTCTTCGCGAGACGTTGGTTGATAAGTGCAATACGGGCACACGACGTCTTCGTGCTCGTTCTCTGGTTCTTGTTCGGTCTCTTGTTCGTTGTCCGGTTCTTGTTTCACTTCGTTGCCGCAGTCGCTACCCTCTTCTCGTCGTTCTAGAACAGTGTAAGAGGGATTCACTTGTGCTAATGAATCGAAGGATTTCTCATCATTTATTTTGTATATTCGCGACAACGTTGACCGTGTGTTTCTAGGGTACGAAAGCAATTATGTTGTTGAGACCTGGAGTGGTCCGAGTCACGAAAGTGGCCTTTCATTCTAATAGAACCGAATTCACTTCTTTTGTAGAATGTACTTTTCAACGAAGTTCCAAAAATTTCTTTTCGATTTTAATAGTAACGTGATTCCAGCCAATACCTTTCTAATCTATTCCCTACACGAGATTAATAGTCCAATCATGTGAATCATATTTCCCGAAACAACATCGATAACCCGAAACTTATAGGCGGCAAATCGGTATAACCACTCGTGACTCAGCCGAATAAACCTATCCGCGGTGGGAGACAGTGGCGGGCAAGAGTCCAGATTATGCCGCATTAGAAGGAACGGTTTCGTTAACGATGAAGAGCGACGGTGGAGTGCGGTATGTGTCAGAGCGTAGTGAGTGTGCGTGTACGTGTCCACGCAGATATCGCAGATGCTTCCTCGTACTTCGAGTAACAATACCACCGAAATTACAGATTGGCAATACGAAATTACCGATGGTTCATTCCCGGGGTAAGAAAGGTTCGCGGCCTGGTTGGCAAAAGCAAGACAAGGAGTATAAAGGAAGACCGCCTATTCGCGTGGTCTGGTATTGTCCGAAACCGCATTTACATCGAAGGGCGTCAGTTGCGAGGAACACAACCGGACGAGGCAACGCGTGCTACTGGCCTTCTCGATCGTGTACGCGCCCGCCGCGGCCCTCTCGTATATTCATGTAAGTATACAGGCCCGACGATATAATAACGCTCAGCATTATGCGTGGCGGCGGCACACGCCACCGCCATATGCCACGCGAAATGACTGCCATTGCCTGTTAATTACGCGATAATCGGTGAAAATACTGAATTCACGAAGGTGTTCCGGGCTGAGCGCTTTCTATCGGCAACGAGGAAATTTTCTTCGTGCACCGGCACATTCGAGGAACAATTCGCCGGACGCCGATTAACGACGAACTGAATCGTAGAGAACGTCATTTTTGTACTCCGTAATACGATAATAGAAGATTACTCTCGAGCTGGTAGATTGAGTTGAATAAAGAATAAGAAGTGTTTAGGGGTACCTCGTTCGAAGAATGAATAACAAGCACGATGTTCTATAGTCTGTCTTTGCGAGCGGATAATGTACCGGCTCGAGCGATTAAGTTGCCACAAGTCGTACCTTGTGTTTTTATGTTTCGATTGTGGTATGTTGTACAAAAAAGAAGAAAATCTTGGCAGTTATGGAAATGAACTGAAGTGAATACGCGAAATGTTATGAATGTAATCTGAAACCAAAGAGGACGATTTGGATTCGAAGATTCACAAATAAATGACACCAAGAGCGTATTTTGTTCTTGATGCTGAAAGTGGACGCTATATAATTTGATCAACAATCCCGTCAATTATTTCAAGCACTATCCTTTCACTTTTATGACAACGTGATCTTAAGAGAATTCTTCAATTCTCGAATAATATGTACAAACTTTAAATAACATGGAAGTATTTTAGAAAAGAAATGGACCCAAATGCAACTCTATCCCATATTAAAATCCTCGATTCCAATTAATCCTCGGAAACGCTATAAAATTTCGGACATCCCTAATTGATTCTCAAAAAAAACCGAAAGAAAAAGAAAGGAGGAATCAACAGATGTGAGATATTTCAATTACTCACCGCTGTTGACACTGGTGGCGTTTGGAGTGGTCGGTGTGGTCGGGCTGGACTGCTGCGCGGGTGGCGCGTCTGGATCGCCGACGACTTGAAAAACGTCGCCGATGTCGGTGTGCGGTGTTTCATTCCCTTGTATGCCGCTCCGTCGATGAAGCTGATGCAACTGTTCCATCTGAAGGTGTCTGAGCGAGCGGACATGCTGCAGCAGCGGCAATCTGTGCCTCGCGCTAAACCCGCACAGGGCGCAGTGATAAAGCTTGCCCTGGGTGGGCACATTAGCGCTCGCCTCAAGCAAATGCCGAAGGAGCAGAGCGGCGGCCTCGTGCCGCGGCGAGGCGGCATGAAGTGCCAACTTATGGGCGCTGTTGGTGTAGTAATCGCACGCGTGGCAGCGTAACTGCGCCGCGCTGGTAGGCGACGCCAAATACTTCAGCTTCCACTCGTTCCGTGGTCCGCCCTCTTTCACATGGTTTACGTGCTGCAGACGCTGCAGGTGCTTGTCCGTCTTGCAGTGCAGTTGGAAGTTCGCCTTCAAGTTGGTTTTATAGGAACAAAGTTTGCAGACGAAGTGGCCGGCTACTAGAGCCAGGATCTCTCCCTCCCGCGTTCGTGTTCTGTCCACGGCCAGGTGATGACCCAGAGCTTCTAAAGAGTCGGTCGCGAAGTTGTTACATACGCAGCACTGATAAAGATGAGCCGGATCGGGATCGGCTGGTTCTGGAGGTGGGTCCATACTGTCCGGTGATAGACCAACGTCGCCGCCGAGATTCCCCATCGCACTCATGCTTGCCATTCCGCCCATGATCTCCGGCGGTAGCTGGGGCGGCAGCTGACCACCGGTCATCATCTGGATCAACAGTGCTTGATTGTAAGCCATGTCGGCGAGAGCCGCCTCCGCGTGCTGCGGTTTGTCCAGACCGCCTAGATGGAGCAACTGCTCGAGCTGCTGTTGGTGTTGCTGTTGCGCTTGCTGATGATGATGCTGCGCCTGCTGGTGATGCGACTGTAACGCGGACAGCGTCTGCATGTGTTTCACATTCTGTTGCAGGACCAGCATGTTGTGCGTATGCTTCTCGCTGGTCATGTGTATCCTAAGATTGCGCGCGACGTTGGTCTCATAGTTGCATACGTCGCAGCGAAACGTCGGCTTCGGTTTGTTCTGGCTCCCTGCTTGGCCGGAGATGTGCGGGCTGTGATTTTGTTGGTGATGAGGACTCCTCGTGGGCATCGGTGCGTCCTGCGACGACGACGGGTTACTGGTACCCGAACTGCCGCCACCGCCTTGCTGCAACTCCTGCATGTTGTTCAGATGCTTGTCGCTCTGCATGTGAATACTGAGATTCCCCTTGGTCGTGGTCGAATAGTTGCACACCTCGCATCTGTATGGTTTGTACCCACACGTGTAAGTTTCACCGCGCGCTAACCTGGGGTGAGGCTGGCCAGCGATGCAGTATATGCAGGAGGTCTCGCTCTCCGGGTGCTTCTCCTTCATGTGTATCTCCAAGGTCTCCTGATACTTGTAATGCCAGTTACATTTGGGACACTTGAGCGTTTTGCACGAGTTTCGACTGTGAATACCGGCTAGTGGACCACCTGGACCAGCTAACCGGCTGCTGGCGAGAATCAGTTCACATTTAGGACACTCAACCCCGCTGGGTCTACCTTGCATGTGTTCCGGGCAGACGCCGATAGTGGTGCCCGTCAAGAAGTTTGGGGGTTGTTGGGTCAAAGCGGCGTAAGAAGACGGCGAGCCTTTCGTGGACGAACTCTGAGGAGGCGGTGACGTGTAGTGTATGCCCGCAGCGTCCGGCGCCTTGGCCCAGGAGGCAGCGCTGACCTGCGCCCCGGTCCATTGGTGTTGCTGCGGTTGTTGATGATTGTACGCGAGTGGATGATTTGAGTGTGACGTGGGAGTGGTGGGTGTGCTCGGCGACGGCCTCTGTTGTTGTTGCTGTTGCTGCTGCTGCTGTTGGGGGCTGCTCGGCACCCCGGGTGTGCTGGCCGGCGTGCTGGTCGTCGTCGGTGTCTCGTGATCGTTGGAGTCGGAGCGTTGCTGTTGTTGCTGGCTCTGTATCTGCGCGGGCGACGACTGCGGACACGTGGAGTTGGTCACTGGCTCCAGGAAGCTGACCAGTGGCTGTTTGCCCCTGCCCACCGCCTGTATGATAGCCGACGCGGTCGAATGGGACAACACCTGTCTTTCGTCGTCCATCAGGGTGAGCTGGTGTTCACCCTGTGCGTGCGCCACGAAGCTCTTCGCGTAGCCGAAACTCAGCTTGCATATGAAACACATCAGGATCGGTTTCACGGGGACCGAGGCTGCTGGCGGCGGCGGCGCCGACGGAGGCGGGGGCGGTTGTTTGCTGCCCTCGGCGCTTCTGTAACTGATCACCCGGTAGCTGTGCATCACGGGAAGATCGGGATTGTGTTGTTGAGCCGCGGAACGTTGCTGCTGTTGCTGTTGCTGCTGCTGGTACGCTTGATGAGCGTACAGGCGTGAAACGTAGTACGCGCTAGCAATTTGAGGAAATACCAGCGAATGGGGAACGGAGACACCACGACCGTCCACGATGCAGCCGTCCGGCAGGGAATCGTCCTCGCTCAACTCGCTCTCACCCTCAATTATGTACGCGGAACCGTCCGGGTTGTACACGATCTTCCCGTCGAATTTCTCGACGTCGCCGCCCGTCGGACTCGGGCTCGGGCTCGGACCTTGCTGCTCTTGTTGTTGCTGCC